AAATTTTCGGAAATTTTACATCTCTACCCCTCACCCCCAAAAATGGAGGGGTGGGAGCTCCACTATAAATTGCACAGATGGGGAACCTGTGCTTTTAATCCCAGGTGCATGAGGGCTAGTTGTGGTTACTCAGGAGAAGAGGGTTGGATTTATACCCCGCCCTTCACTACCCGAAGGAATCTCAGAGCGGCCTACAAACTCCTTTCCCTTCCCCTCCCCACAACAGACACCCTGTGAGCTATACTCCCTCTAAACTAAGGAGTCTTGTGAGCAATATTTCCACTTTGTGAGCTACTGGCATTAAGGCTGTGAGTGAGCGATTTGGCTACTGCATAAATCAGTTTGCTCTGGGGCCATCCTTCCCGAGCTAAGACAAAAATCTGTGAGCTGGAGGGTAAAAAACTGTGAGCTAGCTCTCACACTAACTCAGCTTAGCGGGAACGCTGCCTGTGTGAAGGAGATGCCACTGAGAGAGCTCTTTCGAGGACTGCTCCTGAGAGAACAGCTCTGAAAGAACTTGTGACTGACCCAAGGTCACCCCAGCAGCTGCATGTGGAGTGGGGAATCAAACCCAGTTCTCCCAGATTAGAGTCCACACTTCTAACCACTACACCAAACTGGCTCTGAAGGTAAGGTGGTATTCTAGAGTTCTCCAACATAGCGCCCACTGAGCTTTTCACAACGTGGGTTGGGGCCGTTGTAAGGCTGGTCTTGTTGCTGGCTTCCCTCCTTCAAGTGAGAGAGTTTTCCACCGGAGGATGAGGAGGCCTGATAAGCAACTGCGGCTTTCCTGAGTCAATGCGCAGCTCCCTTCTCCCTTCAGGATTTCATTCTCCCCTGGAGGTGTGAGGAGGGCGGCCTTCTTCTTGCAGAAGCCTTTTTTGGGACGGCACTCCCCCCTCAAAATTCCAAAGAGGCCGAAAGAGGCCCATAGCCTCAAAAAGGTTGGGAAGCCTTGTGATACACTCTGCACCTGCTCAGAGGCTCTCCAGTTGTGAACACGCACGTGCCAGGGCTCAGGCCTGTTTTTGAAACTGCATTCCACTGCCGAGTGTGTTTGTTAACACCAGGACCCAGCGTGTAACATCTGGGCGGGGAACGGGCGGGTGTGCCAAAGCAGGCACTCACCTGGACTGCCACTCCAAAATTATTGCCGTCTTCAATCCGTGGAACCTGGAGCTGCAGCCACAGAGAGATCTGGGGAAAGGAGGACACCCGATTAACATGTGTCATTGTGTGGACTGGCACACGTGTACACCACTGTGTGGGGTGTGGCCCACATCCTCCAAGGGCCTTACCACATTCATCTTCTCCTTGGTGCCCTGGATCTCTGGCTTGACGCGGTTCAGGAGGGCCGTGATCTTCTCGTTGTGGGCTACGGGGCCGCAGGGGGGCGCTGGGAGAGACAGAGAACACTTAGGAGGACCAAAATAGGGCTCCTGTCAGCAGCTGCTAGCCATGGGGACTCAAGGGAACCTCCACGTTTAGAGGCAGTTAACCTCTGAATCCCAGTGCCGAGAAGAAGAGGAAGAGAAGAGATTGGATTTATACCCTGCCCTTCACTACCCAAACTCCTTTCCCTTCCCCTCCCCACAACAGACACCCTGTGAGGTAGGTGGGGCTGAGAGAGCTCTTGACAGAAACTGCTCTTTTTTCAAGAGCTCTTTTTTTTCATAGCTCTTATCAGAACTATGGCTTGCCCAAGGTCATCCAGCAGGTACAAGTGGAGGAATGGGGAATCAAACCCGGTTCTCCCAGATTAGAGTCCGCGCGCTTAACCACTACACTACAAACTGGCTCTCAGGGGAAGGCCTCGGCCTTTATGCCCTCTTGTCGGCCCTCCAGAGGAACTGGCTGGCCCCTGTGTGAGACAGGATGCGGGACTAGATGGACCCTCACTGATCTGATCCAGCAGGGCTCTTCCAATGTTCTTATCAGGGGAAGGCCTCGGCCTCCCTGCCCTGTTGTTGGCCCTCCAGAGGAACTGGCTGGCCCCTGTGTGAGATGGGATGTGGGACTCGATGGATCCCTGGTCTGACCCAGCAGGCTCTTCGGATGTTCTTGTGTTCCTCAGCGACAGGGGTGGGGGACGCCAGCCTCCCTAGGTCCACCAGTGTCTCCCCGTCAGCCTGCCAAACTTCGCTCTCCTCTCTGTGCACCTCACACCTACCACCAGGAGTTGCCGCTATTTCTTTGGACAACCACGGCAGCCACAAGGTAGACCAGGAGTTGCCTCATTAAGAACTGCTCGACAGGCGAGAACATAATGCATGGGACATGACACGGAGGTGAGGAAACTGAATCTGTTGCATTTCTTCCTGCCGGGTGCCAAAGATAGCACTCCTAACAGGCTTGCCAATCGCTGTGGTGGAAAATGAGCATGGGAGCATCAAGAGCCTCCCGCCCTCCCTTGCGCCTAAGCACCATCCCTCTCCCCTGACCCAGATGTTCCTTCCTGCATCCATCTCCTTCCCTCCCATCGCTAAGACAAAGTTCTGTGGAGGAGGGAGGGGGCCCTTTTGGTCAGGCCAAGGATCCAGGGCCGGGATTCAGCTGCTAGGCCTCTGACCAGGGGTCATTTCCTGCAGGGGCGCACTCCGGCAGTAAAGAGCCCAGGGGGCTGGCACATGCAACAAGCCCCACCCCCTGCTCCCAGCAGCCCTGTCAGAGCGAGAAGCAGCCAGGTAAGTTGCAGAGCTCTCCCTGGCCCCCCGGTCCAAAACAGTCAAGTGGCACCTTTAAGACCAAGTTTTATTCAGGTACAAGCTCTCCCTCCTCTGCAGATCTGCATGTCCCCCCCCCCCAATAGCTGGCAATCCAAAACAGTCCAGCGGAGCCTGAGCGGTGGGTGTTGCCTTCTGACACGCTTCTGGTGATGTCAGGAGGTGTTGCATATGCAAACGAGTTATGCTAATGAGCTGTGGTAATGAGCTCCTGCACCTCTTTTCTTACGAAATGACCCCTGCCTCTGAAGAACATTTCAGCTTTCTAGGTAGTTTACAACAGGGGTCCCAGTGTGGTGCTGTCAGGTGCCCAGGCACCCACTGACACCTTTCCTGGTGCCCCGCCAAGTGTTTTTAGAAAGTGGGCAGAGCCGGACGAGACTTTTGCCCAGCAAGCCTTCTTATCGGCCATTGGAGTTTTGATTGGCTGTGCCGATTTTTTTTTGTTAAGTTGCTTTGGCAGGAGCTGCCACCACAGCGCAAGAAGGTAAGCCGCGGCAGCCATTTTGTGTCTGGCTCCTCCTCCCCTAGCAGCCATTTTGTGTCAGAATTCCAAAGGTGCCGGCGGTCTCAGAAAGGTTGAGGGCCCTTGGTCTAGAAGTACGCTCCTCATGGGAGGGGTGTGTCCAACTTCTGCCTGCCGCACCTGTGGATGGCAAAACCCCCAAATGTTGCCCTTCCAGACCCCCCTCATAATTCCGAGCCCTCCCTCAGTACCTTTATCCTCATCGTCTGATTTCTTGGAATCCTTCTCTTTCTTCCCATCGTCTTCCTTCTGTGCCACGAAAGAGTCATGAAGAGAAAAATAAGCTGCAAATCGCCACATCCATATATTGATGCATCCCTCAGTTAAACAAAACAGCCAAGCAAGAGATTTAACCCATAAACAGAGTCAACCTTTTCTACCAGTGTTATCCTGCGCTCCCCTTTGAGGTCTTCCGAAGGATGCCCGAGGTTCACCCTCCATTTTGCCCCCTCAACCACCACCCCGTGAGGGAGGCTAGTTTGAGAGAGAGTAACTGACCCAAGGTCACCCAGTCTGCAAAATGACTAAGCGGGGATTCGAATCTCCCTGCAAAAAATGTAGTCAAAGGGTCTTAAATACACATTTAAGTACTAATTTAAAAGAGAACTTTTAAAAAATGATGTATTGATGGCTATATGCCTCCAGAAAAATTAGCTAAAATAAAAATATTTTGAGTAAATGCTGGAAAGGTGACCAACAAGAAGGGACATTTTATCATTTATGGTGGACATGTACTAAAGCTAGAAAATTTTGGATACAGATACATTCTGTAATTCAGAAAAATTTAAAGACTAATATACAATTGAAAACAGAGGCTTTTTGTTTGGGATTAATGGATGGTCAATTAGAAAGAACACATGAAACTTTATTTTTGTACATGACAGCAGTGAAAAGACCACTTATATGCTCAGAAATGGATATCTGCAGTAATACCTACAACAGAAGAACAGAATGGTGAAGATGATGGAATTAGCGGAGATGGCTAAACTTCTGTGATTAGAGAAAAGACTTTAAATACATTTATAACTAAGTGGAAACCTCTGATGGACTTTTTGCAGGAAATGGAAAAAATGAACTGATGATTTATGGATTTGAAGAAGAGGGTGAGAAATTAGATATAGCTAAAAGAGAGGGTTTTTTCATTTATGGATTTATAGAGAGTAAACAGAGAATTAAGATGTACCAGTTGTAGACGAGAATCGAAATATAGTCTCCCTTTTTCCTGTCTTCTTTTTTCTCCTTTTGTGTTTTTTTAACATATTTTCATGAAAAGCTTAATAAAAATTTTAAATTCAGCAATCCAGATGAGAAGAGGAGGAGGAGGTTGGATTCATACTCCGCCCTTCACTACCCGAAGGAGTCTCAGAGCGACTTACAATCTCCTTTCCCTTCCCCTCCCCACAACAGACACCCTGTGAGGAAGGTGGGGCTGAGAGAGCTCTCCCGGGAACTGACCTTGAGAGAACAGCTCTGAGAGAACTTGTAACTGACCCAAGGTCACACCAGCAGCTGCATGTGGAGGAGTGGGGGAATCAAACCCGGTTTGCCCAGATTAGAGTCACGCGCTTCTAACCACTACACCAAACTGGCTCTTTTCCCAAGTCACAACTTGGCAAGCAATCCCACATACCAGGAGTCCCCAACTTGGTTCTCACAGGCACCATGATGCCCACCAACACCTTGTCTGACACCTGCCAAGTGTTTTTTAGAAAAGTGGGCCGGGTAGGGATTTTGCCCAACCAGGGGTCCTGATTGGCCATTGGAGATCTGATTGGCTGAGCACAAAATGAAATACGGACACACACAAACGCAGAGAGAAGCATACAGTCTCCATGAAAACACAACCAAAAAGTGAATGCGTCTGCTCCTCCGCCCTGAAGAAAGAAAATAATTTAAAAGTAATTGCAGGGAGGACAGAGAGGGAGAGATCAGCCTCTTTCTGCTACACACCGAGAAACAGGAGCGGGGGAGAAAATACGGGTGAAAGAGATGCCCACCCCCCCACAGCTCCTGGCTTTTCCTGGCGGGGGCAAGGAGAGTCAAATGAAGGAACACTGCTTCAGAGCAGAGCTTAGGTCTCCAGGCAGAACAAAGCCTTCAATTAGAAGGCGGAGGTGCACGAATGAGACCACACCTTCGTGCCCCAGCTGGAGTAATGCGGTTGTGTCAAAGGCCGGAGCTGGTTCTGCCGCTGCCGCAGGCACACGGTTCGGCCTCGCCAGTTTCACAACTCAAACTGGGCATTACGTTGCGCTTTCTCCCAGGATGCTTGCAGGGGCCGCGGAGACTGCCTGGTATTTCTTTCTTTCTTTCTCCCCGGCCTAAACGGGTGACAGCAGCCACAGTGCCCTCCCCTATGCTGTATCCACACGACACCAACCCCAGGAGGTCGGTCAGGCTGAGCGTGTGTAACGGGCCCAAGGAGACCCAGTGAGTTTCCACAACAGAGGAGGGGTCTTGAACCTCGGTCTCCCAGTCAAAGAGAACTTCCTGGAAGTGCTGGGTTCAAATCCCTACTCGTGCTGCGGAAGCTCACTGGGTGACCTCGGGCCAGTCACTCTGTCAGCCTAACCGGAGCCAGTTTGGTCTCCTGGTTAAGTTGTTGTTGCTGTTCAGTCGCACAGTCGAGTCCGACTCTTCGCGACCCCATGGGCCAGATCACGCCAGGCCTTCCGGTCTTCCGCCGTCCTCTGCAGTTTGCTCAACTTCATGTTTGTTGCATCTATGACACTGTCTAACCATCCTTTGCCGTCCCCGTCTTCTTTGACCTTCAATCTTTCCCAGCATCAGGGCCTTCTTCTCCAGCGAGTGCTCCCTTCTCATTGGGTGGCCAAAGTATTTGAGCTTCAGTTTCATTATCTGGCCTTCCAGGGAACAGTCAGGGTTGATTTCTTTTAGGATTGACTGATTTGATCTTCTTGCAGTCCAAGGGACTCTCAAGAGTCTTCTCCAGCACCATAGTTCAAAGTACATGGACTCTAATCTGGGAGAACAGGGTTTGATTCCCCACTCCTCCACATGCAGCTGCTGGCGTGACCTTGGGTCAGTCACGAGTTCTCTCGGAGCTCTTCTCCTAAGAGCAGTCCTCAAAAGAGCGCTCTCAGCCCCACCTCCCTCACAGGGTGTCTGTTGTGGGGAGGGGAAGGGAAAGGAGATTGTAAGCCGCTCTGAGACTCCCAAGTGAAGGGCGGGATATAAATCCAATCTCTTCGTCTACCCTATCTCACAGGGCTGTTGTGAGGATAAAATGGACAAGAGGAGAAGGATGTAAGCGGCTATGAGTCCCCATTAGGGGCAGAAGGCATGATACAAATCAAATCGAATCAATCAATAAAACTTCCACGTAAGGAATTCCCACACAACTCCCAAGGAGATGGTTGCATGTGAAGGTGACGGCTGCCCGATTGCCACAGGGCGTGTGCAATGTTCCCTTTAAGCTGTGGAGTCTTGTGAGCAAAAATTCTACTCTGTGAGCTACTGGCATTAAAAGTTGTGAGCGAGCGATTTGGCTACTGCATAAATCAGTGTGCTCTGGAGCCATCTTTCCTGAGCTAAGACAAAAATCTGTGAGCCGGAGACTAAAAAAAACTGTGAGCTAGCTCACACTAACTCAGCTTAGAGAAAACGCATGTGTGCACTGGAGTGCGTAGGCTGAACTGGCACACAGTAACCTACCTCTGGATGCCAGCTCTTCTGCAGGGTTGAAGCCCACCAATCTGTCCCACTAGTTATGCTGTTTTCCACGGAGCAAGCAGCTTTCCCTCTGCCACTTTCTGGGACGGCTCCTTGCACCATGGAAGAGCATCGCTGTCAGCAGAACAGATCCACAGACTCCAACCCCATATACTTAAAACGCCCATGCGCCATTATTTCATCAAAAGAAACAACTGCATCTCTCAGGCGGTTTCACACAACCAAAAGACATATAAAGATGAAACTACAAACCAGCCACAAAGATGGAACTACAAACCAGCTACAAACAGGAAGCTACCGTTGGGTTTAAGATCTACCCATCTTTGTTTAAATTTGTATTGTAAAATTGTTATTGTATTTTACTGTTTTATACTTGCGTTTTTTTTTGTTATAACCTTGGCACATTGTACCCTTGTCAGCCGCCCTGAGCCTTCGGGTAGGGCGGGATATAAATCCAAGGATAAATAAATAAATTCACCAAATGCCAAATTCACCGTAAACCGTAGTAAAAAAAACAAACAAACAAGCCAGCAGCTCCAGAAGCTGGTGGCAAAGATAATGAAAAGTCACCATATAAAGGGCAGAAACCAATCCAATAAGCAAGAGAAATGGCAGTGTGGTGGTTGGAGCGTTGAACTAGAAACTGGGAGATCTGGGTTCAAAATCTGCACTCTACCTTGGAAGCTCACTGGGAGACCTTGGACCAGTCACACACTCTCAGCCTAATCTACCTCACAGGGTTGTTGTGAGGATAAAATGGAGGAAAGAAGGCCGTTAGTTGCTTTGGGTTCCTGCTGGGGGGGAAGGTGGGGTACAAAAGGCTGGAATGAAAATGAAAAGAGCCCCAGCCGCCGCCACTTCCCAAAAGAGAGGTATCACAAGAAAACAGAAACAACCAGCAATCAATTTTGCCACACGGCAAAAAAAAAAACCTTGAGCCCTCAGAGATTTGCTAGGAAAAGGGGATGAGAAAAGACAGAAGGAGGCATGAAGGAGCAACCCCCCACAGGCCTGCAGGACCCCCCGACTTACATCACCCCTTCTCAGATTTGGAAGATGAGCCCAGTTTAGAATCGAGCTTTTCCCTCCAAAAACCGGGGGTTTAGAAGAGAAGAGTTTGGATTTATACCCCGCCCTTCACTACCTGAAGGAGTCTCAGAGCGGCTTACAGTCTCCTTTCCCTTCCCCTCCCCACAACAGACAGCCTGTGAGGCAGGTGGGGCTGAGAGAGCTCTCTTGAGAACTGCCCTTGAGAGAACAGCTCTGAAAAAACTTATGACTGACCCAAGGTCACATCAGCAGCTGCATGTGGGGGAGCGTGTGTTTCCCCACCATATCCCAGTCCTACTCACTTCCTTTTTCTTCCGGCGTTCCTCATCCTTCTTGGGATCAGGGACAGGGATGTCTAGCTCAGCACGGAGAGAAATGAGGTCCGAGACATTCAGTTCGGGGTCCTGGGAGAAGAAGAAAGAGCCCCGTTGCGTACACCATTGACCTCTAGCACCGCTTATCTCGAAGAGACTACTGCTCAATAAACCTCTGGCCTGCCACTGCACACCAAATTTCCGACTTACCCATGTCAACTTCCCCCAAAACCCACTCCCTCCCCCTTCCCAGTACCAAAGGAAACACTGCTTAGTGATTAAAAGATGGCATTCACTACCGGAAGATGTAGCGATGGCCCCAGGAATAAAGAGTTTAAAGAGGGGATTAGATAGATAGATGGAGGATAAGTCTATCAAGGGCTACTAGCCATGGTGACTGAGAAGAACCTCCACATTCAGACGCACGAAACCCCTGAATCCCAGAGCCAGGAGGCAACATCAGGAGAAGGGCTTGGCCTCTCTGCCCTGCTGTTGGCCCTCCAGAGGAACTTGTCAGCCACAGTGTGAAACAGGATGCTGGACTAGATGGAGCCTCACTGCTCTGATCCAGCAGGGCTCCTCTGATGTTCTTTTGAAGACCTTGGCCTCTCTGCCCTGTTGTTGGCCCTCCAGAGGAACTGGCTGGACACTGTGTGAGGCAGGATGCTGGACTAGATGGAGCCTCACTGCTCTGATCCAGCAGGGCCCTTCTGATGCTCTTCTCAGGGGAAGGCCTCAGCCTCTCTGCCCTGTCGTTGGCCCTCCGGAGGAACTGGCTGGCCCCTGTGTGAGACAGGATGCTGGACTAGATGGACCCTCACTGGTCTGATCCAGCAGGGCTCCTCTGATGTTCTTATAAGCCTCAAGCTAAACTTCTACTTTCTCAGATGTGGATTTCAAACTGTGGGAGTCCCACCCACAGTCCTCTCACTTGAAAGAACCTGCATTACATCCTCAGAACCTGAAATATATCCGAGATCCGACATTCTCCAAAAACCGTCTCCAGTTATACTTACTGATGGGTGCAAAGTTGGGGGGCGGAATGCTAAAACCCTTTTCATCCTGTACCAATCCCAACACAGTTTCTTCTCGACAGGGGCTAGGATCCCTGGGGCCAAAGTTTCCTTCCGGCTGCAGCCTCACTTGCCAACCTCCAGTTGGGGCCTGGAGACTCCTGGAATTACAACGCACCTCCAGACTACAGAGATCAGTTCCCCCCAGTAGAAATTGGCTGCTTTGGAGAGTGGACTCTATACTATAATATCCCACTGCATTCCCACTGTGGTTGCCAACTTGCAGGTGGTGGCCGGAGAGCTCCCACTGTGACACCTGATCTCCAGGTGACACAGATCAGTTCTGGAGAAAATGGTTGCTTTGGAAGGTGGGACTCAATGGCACTGTACCCAACTGACGTCTTCACCCCAAGATCTCCAGGAATTTCCCAACCTGTAGCTGGTAACCCTAAGTCCTACCCCTCCCCAAACCCCACCCCAAATCTACAAAAATTTCCTAACTCAGAGGGGCAACCCTCCCACCCCACAGCAATATCCCCCCTTCCTTGTACCCACCGTGTCCCGGTCCCGCCCCTTGCGCTTACAGGCGTTCAGACACATGGTGTTCCCCCCTCGCCAGGCCCTCGGCCTCCCCCCCCCTTTCTTCTCCAGCCTTCCTTAAAAGCACTTTGCCGAGACATCCACCCCAACACCCACGCCAGCAGGCTCACCTTCAAAAAATTATTTAGCTCCACAATCTTTTCTGGGAAACGCTGGGCAACAAGTTCTTCAGCCTTGAGGGTTGGGGAGAGAATGGGGGTGGGGAAGTGAGTTAAAAAGCATCCAGGTTAGGACTTCATAGAAGCAAAAACTCTACCAAACTTTTAAAAAAATTGATGCCAATTTGCACTGGATCACACTGAAACACACAAAAAAGGTACCGCTCCAGTGAAGCCTAAAATCTTGGCAAAGAAGCTTCTCTTTGGTTTCCTGCAGACTGAGAAATACCCTCTTTGCATGCTCAGAGGCACTCCTGTTTTCATTTGCTCACGGGTTTCAGGCTGGAACTGGAGGACTAGAAACTGGTGGGGTTCCCAGCTTCTGGGGCCGGCAGACCAAGTTCTGCTCCCTCCCCTTTTGGGGGTCTAGGGTCTGAAAATCCTCCCCTAATGCAAAATTCCCAAGTTTTAATGGGGGGGGGGGCACTGCCAGAGAAAGTTGTGTCCATCTCACCTGAGCACAGAGGTTCTTCCTGAAGGATTCCACCTGCAAAGGGAAGGGAACCAGAGAAAGAGAAACATGAAACTCCGAAAGATGAAAGTTGCACTGCACCAGACAATGGTGTGCCTGGGCAGTGCGCCAGCCGCCCCCCCTCCGTGCCCCGGTGTCACCCGATCCTCCACACACCTGTTCTCTGCACCGCTCGGTCTGCAATTTGACAAGCCACAACACAGAGTGCCAACCCGGCCCCTTGCTTCTCTCCAACCCCATATCTGTGCCCCCCCAGTGTTCCCTCTAAGCTGAGTTAGTGTGAGCCAGCTCACAGGTTTTTAGCCTCCAGCTCACACATTTTCGTTTCAGCTCAGAGAGTAGCCAAATCGCTCGCTCACAACTTTAATGCCAGTAGCTCACAAAGTAGAATTTTTGCTCACAGGACTCCACAGCTTAGAGGGAACATTGCACCCCCCCTACACAATTTTTTGGGGGGAGAGGAGGAGAGTAAGAAAACAACGTTCTCTGTGCCAGGCGGGAGCCAACCCTCCCTGAGCCCGCCCTGGCAGGGAGGACGGAATATAAATCTAATAAATAAACAGATACACTTGGAGACCCCAAACCTCCCCCTGCCTGCCCCCCCTTGACAACCCCCCCCCCCACCCCATTCTGCCTGTCGCAGCAACGTTGGCCGGGCAGAAGCCCCGCCGGAGGGAGTCAGCTGGATCAAGGGGAGACGCCCCCCACCCCCGGTCCTCCTTACCTGGGCTTGGCGCTCGGGGGAGATGTGCAAGGTGTCGGCCATGGTCCCGGGTTGCAGCAGCGCAGGCGGCGAGCGAGCCGAACCCCGAAAGCCCGACGGCGGCGCGGCTCCGGGAAGCGGGGAGAAGCTGGCCCGTCACGCCTCAAAGCGAAAATGAAAGGGAAGGGGAGGAGAGGAGAGGAGAGAGAGCCGCCCCGGCAGGGACTTCCCGTGGGAGGAGGCGGGCGAGGCGAGGCGGGCAGGCCGCCATCCGAAAGGGGCAGCCGCCCACCGAGCCCCCCGCCTTCTTGCGCCTTCGAGCAGCGTGGAAGAGAAAACGCCTCCCGTGGACGTTCATTTATGGCCTAAAGGTGGTGAAAGCACGTGGTTTCCCACCGTGCCCTTTGTGCGGGCCGCGTGGAGTACATCTATTGGGTTCCTCCCCGTCCTCACAACAGCCCTGCAAGGTGGGCTGGGCGAAGAGCAACTGGGGGACCCCGTTTTATAGGGTTGCCAGCTCCAGGTTGGGAAGTACCTGGAGATTTGGGGGGGGTGGAGCCCGAATAGGGTGGGGTTCGGGGCATAATGTCATAGAGTCCCGCTTCCACATTTTCCCATTTTCCTCCAGGCCAGGGGATCTCTCTTGCCTGGAGACCAGGTGTGAGTCAAGGCTCCCTCTAAGCTGTGGAGTCCTGTGAGCAAAAATTCTACTTTTTTTTTTTAACACACAATTTTATTAGGATATATCATTAAGTCAAGTTATATCACCTTACAAACTATCATATATCCTTTTCTCCTACTTACCCACCCCTTCTGACTTCCCACAGTGCTCCAACCTCCAGCCCAAATCTTGTATTCAAAAAATTCTGCTTTGTGAGGCTCCTGGCATTCAAGTGGTGAGCGAGCGATTGGGCTGCTGCATAAATCAGTTTGCTCTGGAGCCCTCTTTCCTGAGCTAAGACAGAAATGTGTGAGCCAGAAGCTTAAAAAAAAACTGTGAGCGAGCTCACACGAACTCAGAGGGAACACTGGGTGTGATAGCAGGAGGTATCCAGTCACCGCCTGGAGGTTGGCAGCCCTACCCCATCACCCAGTGAATTTCGTGGCAGAAGGGGGATTGGAACCCAGTTCTCCCTTGCCCAGGGCAGAGGGGTGATTCAAACTCAGCTCTCCCTTGTGTGAGGGCAGGGGGCGGAATCCAAGCCCAGCTCCCCCCCCCCCTTGGACCAGGGTAGAGGGGGAGTTTGACCCCCAACTCTCCCTCACAAGTGGGTGGAGGTGGTGTGCCTCTGAGCAGGCACGGCCTGAACTAGCCCTGGCATGATCCGGGGTGAAGCAGCCATATTGCAGCAAGAGCTTCTGCTGTGCCAGGAAATGGAGGGTGTGATTACCAAGAGATAGCGCCACACCTGCGCCAGACGGCTGAGCTTGCAAGGAGTCCTTCAAGGCTGTGAGCCTGAAATATCTCGTCGGTTCTTGCCTCCTCACGAGGAGCTGTTTACACTAACGCCACGCGGGATTCGGGTGCAGAGTTCCAGAGTCTTAAATGTGCCCCCCAAAAAGGGAACCATCTTTGGTTGGCCTGAGACCTGCAGAGGTGACACAACTCTCATCAACCCAAACAGGTCGGCCTGGTCTCCAACCCACGCAGCCCAGTCGACGCTCGTTTTTCTCTCTCTTCAAAGCAAACGGGCCCATCCCTCCGGAAAAACGATCCACAAACGCCAGCTTGTGTTGGCTCACGATGAAGGACATGCACTCTGTGCAAGTTCAGAGTCACCCTTGTGCCACCATGGGCGGCACTCGGAAAAGGAACGGGGGCCCAACATGTGGGCGCCAAGCGATCCTCTCTCTGCCTCAGGCATGAGGCCTGTTCCTTGACTTCTGTCCCTCAGAATCGCTGATCCTACTTTATGGGAGCCAAAAACAAGAAAATCCACAGAATACCACATATTGGGACCTGTGAGGTACATTATCAGTGCTGCCTCCTCTCAGCTCTGGTCAGTAAACCTCTGGGGCAGTGCAGAGACGCATCTTGTCACGCCTGCACATTCTTGGACATAAACACTGCTCACGCTGCCATGTTAATTCCTGAGTTACCTTGTTTTGGTGGCAACATAATCTCCAGTGGCCAATCAGAAAGCCTGCTGGACAAAAGCCCCACCCACTTTCTAAAAACACTTGGTGGCAGTGGGCGCAGCCACAAAATGGCTGCTGCTACTTGCCTTCGGTTACCCAGTGAAGATCCTTGTGCTGTGGTGGCAGCGGTCGCCTAAGCAAGTTCTCTACAGATCTGCACAGCCTATTGTATCGGGCTAATCACTACTGAAATGAAACTGAAGCTCAAATACTTTGGCCACCCAATGAGAAGGGAGCATTCACTGGAGAAGACCCTGATGCTGGGAAAGATTGAAGGTCAAAGAAGACGGGGACGGCAAAGGATCAGATGGTTAGACAGTGTCATAGATGCAACGAACATGAAATTGAGCAAACTTCAGAGGACGGCGGAAGACAGGAAGGGCTGGCGTGATCTGGTCCATGGGGTCGCGGAGAGTCGGACTCGACTATGCGACTGAACAACAACAACAATCACTACCCATGATGAGCAAAAGCTGGGCTTTGTCCACTTTCTAAAAACACACGGCAGGCTCCAGACAAGGCGTTAGTGGATGTCACGGCGCCCATGGGCACCCCGTTGGGGAACCGTGCTGTACCGGATAAATTGCCAAATTGTGACTCCGGGAGACCTGGATTCAGAAGAGGAGGAGATTGGATTTATGCCCCGCCCTTCACTACCCAAAGGAGTCTCAGAGTACAATCCCTTCCCCTCCCCACAACAGGTACCTTGTGAGGTAGGTGGGGCCGAGAGAGCCCTGAGAGAACTGCCCTTGAGAGAACAGCTCTGAAAGACCTTCTGGCTGACCCAAGGTCACACCGGCAGCTGCAGGTGGAGGAGTGGGGAATCAAACCTGGTTCTCCCAGATTAGATTAGAGTCCGTGCTCTTAACCACTACTCAGTCAAAGCTTACCCTGCTCAGTCCTTCTGCTGACTGGGCAACCTTGGGTCAGTCACTGTCCCTCAACCTAACTTTCCTCACAAGGTAGTAATTGAGGGGATACTACGTTGTGGCCCCTGGCATAAGGTAATTTTTTTAAAGTAGGACTTTAAATCCTCTTGCGCTTTAACCCAGCAGAAAACAAGTTGCCCGCTAATCAAGGAGTATCCCAAAAGCTCTGGACAAGTGGTAGTAAGGAAGGCAGGAGTGATGATCCAGAAACTGAGCGGGAGTATCCAAAAGCATGAATCCTCCATGCCAAACTATACAAAGCTTTCCCGCTAGAAACCCAGAGATCCAGGGAAGGCTAGAAAACTAGCATGGTAGAGAGGGTCTACGGGCACAGGATGGAGGGCGCAACCACAAGATGGCTGCCAATAGAGGCGGAGTCAACTGCAAAATGTCAGAGAATAAGATTAAGCACAACTCAAACAGGAAACTTTCAACATCTTCAAGCAGAAGCTCTGTTTAACAGGATGCCCTTTGAGCATATTGTTTAAAAATACTTTCTTCTGCGCACAGAGATTACCTCTCGTTACTGTGTGCTGTGGTAGGCGCTGATGCTGAGGTAACTTTCTGCACCAGTGGATCAGATCTCCAGTGGCCAATCAGAAAGCCTGCTGGACAAAAGCCCCACCCACTTTCTAAAAACACTTGGTGGCAGCCGCTGATGCCGAGGTAACTTTCGGCACCAGTGGAGCAGACCTCCAGTGGCCAATCAGAAAGCCTGCTGGACAAAAGCCCCACCCACTTTCTAAAAACACTTGGTGGCAGCCACTGATGCCGAGGTAACTTTCTGCACCAGTGGAGCAGACCTCCAGTGGCCAGTCAGAAAGCCTGCTGGACAAAAGCCCCACCCACTTTCTAAAAACACTTGGTGGCAGCCACTGATGCCGAGGTAACTTTCTGCACCAGTGGAGCAGACCTCCAGTGGCCAGTCAGAAAGCCTGCTGGACAAAAGCCCCACCCACTTTCTAAAAACACTTGGTGAGCCCCCTGGCGCCCACCGGCACTGTGTTGGGGACCCCTGGACTACGTGCAGGGAGCCTGGGTGAAGCCGCTTTCAACGGCAGGCCCCAGTCCTGCTTGTCAGTCTGACCCATTGCTGCTCCGATCCAGATTGACCCCCTCACGGCAGTTTCAGGCTGAGGCCCAGTTATCATACCCACCCCTTCCCTCAATTCCCCCCCCTAATAAAACACACTAATAAAGCACAGCTCAAAGGATCTCGTTTTTATTTGCCTCTCAAGCCAAGTGGTTCTTTCACAACCCCCTTTCCGGCCCCTGGACCCCCCCCTCAAGTTGTGCTCAGTTCCGCTTCTTCCCCTCCCCAGGACCCGTTTTGAGGAACAGGCCCGCCCCGGGCCTCCCCGGAGACCAAGAGCAGCGGTACCAGACCCGGTAGGTGAGGTACCAGCAGAGGGTGGCGATGGCCGCCCCCACCACCTTGTGGCTGTATTCGTAAAGGTACACCACGGTGCAAGCCAAGAGGAAGTTCCACAGGGCGAGGAGGAGGACGTTGAGGAGGAAGATGAGGCGCAGGGGGACGCCGGCGGGGTGGCCCTGGGCCAGGTAGCGCCGGAAGACGGCAGTCTCCTCCACCATGAGGAGGCAGCAGAAAGTGAGGAGGAAGGTGTGGCCGGACACGTCGTAGCCGTGCCACTGGTGGCCCTCGTGGAGGCAGGTCCACTTGTCTGTCAGGTTGTTCACCAAGAAGCCCTCGGGCACGGGGTCGAAGCAGTAGCCGGTGAGGTTCTCGATGAGCAGGAAGGTCTCCGTGGCCCCCAGCCAGAGCCCGGCCCCCACCGCCAGGCGGCTGAGGTGGCGCAGGGTGAGCAGCAGCCGCCGGGAGGCCAAGTAGACGACCAGGAGGATGAAGCCCCCCAGGAAGATGCACGTCCAGCCCCAGGCCGACCGGACAAACTTGCTGCAAGGAAGGGGAGAGGGGTGAGCGGGGAGGGGGCACAACACCCAGCCTGCCCCCGTGGCACTGTCTGCCCGCCTTCCCCACCAGCCTCGCCCAGGGCATTCCAGCGGGCAGAGTGCAACAAGGACGTGGTGGCTGCACCCAGGCTAAGGGAGCCCGGGCAATGGAGATGAGAGCCGGTTTGGTGGA